GAAGAAGAAGAAGAAGAAGAAGAAGAAGAAGAAGAAGAAGAAGAAGAAGAAGAAGAAGAAGAAGAAGAAGAAGAAGAAATAGAGAAAAAGAGGGACTGGGAAGCAAGAGAGGATCAAGGAGTGAGAAAAGAAGGGGCGAGCCACACAGCCACACAGCCACACAGCCAGACATGAGTAAGAGTGAAAGTAAGATTTACAGAAGAAAAGGAAAAGGCCCAGAGGCAAAAGGTAGATGGGATAATTTAAGTTAAACAAAGCTGGCTAGAAGCAAGCCAAACTAAGGCTAGGCATTCATAAGAAAGAGTAAGCCTCTGTGTGTGTGTGTGTGTGTGTGTGTGTGTGTGTGTGTGTGTGTGTGTGTGTGTGATTTATTTGGGAGCAGGGTGGTGGGCCCCCAAAAGAGTAAAAACTACCAACTAAAAACTCTCCTATTTCACATTTGTGTTTATATTATTTTATGTGTGTGGATGCGTGAGCCACAGTACACCTGCGGAGGTCAAAAGACAGCTTGTGGGAGTGGCTCTGTCTTTCCATTATGTGGGGTCTGGGGATCAAGCGCCTTTACCTGCTGGTCTGTCACTCCAGCTCCAGGGCAGAGAACTCGTATAGGAGATGCTAGGCTGCCATTTTGCCGTCACTTCTTAGAATTCCTTCAATTGTAGGTACAAGCACAGCTTCTTCAACATCGAGAGACCTCAGCTCACTGGCTAGACACTGTCCAATGAGAGTTCAGCGGCAGGAGGGTCTGTCCCTTAGCAGAGCGACACTTCCATGTCTACTCACTGACCGTAGCTCTTGGCTAAGTTCAACTCTGTAGTAGGATTTTGCCACTTGCATCAGGAGTGGCTAGCACCACCAGCATGCTGATTTTCCAAAACCATTTCCGCAAACATCTGGTCTGTCTTCGGAGATGCAATTTGACCACATGTTTTTGCTCCTACCTCACAGGGGTTGCCATCTTTCTAGTCTGTGGTGTCTGGGTCCTTGCAGCCTATATCCTCCTGAGGTTCCTGCTTCACATTCAGGACAAGTGTGCTTCACAGCTCGGGACAAAATTCTATATGGGTGAGCATGAAATTTAATCGTGAATGTCAGAAAGGCTCTCAAATACAGTGGAGCTTAAAAGATGAATGTTTACTTCTCTCTCATGCAGATGTTTCAGTGGTCACTCTGTGTGTGAGTCATCAGAGGCCCCAGCTGCGTGCAACTTATTGCTGGACCTCCTCAGCATGGAGCTTCCAACTCTGGGACCCAGGTGGCTCTTCTAAGCCAGCTGGCTGCATCTGTCCAACCAAAAAGGGTAATGAGAAGGGGGTGCTTTTACCCTTCAAAGACATTCCTGGACGTCATCCACACTCAACATGCCACTAACCAATGACTTTGGTCGCACAGCCTAGCTGCAAGGGAAGCAAGAATAGTCCTTATTCTGGGAAAGCATCCACAGTTACAGCTAAAACTCACTCTCTTACTCTAGGAAAAAAAAAGGACAAATGTTGGGGGATAGCTGCTCTTTAGGCAGTAGTTCCCTCACCACAAATCTGGTGGGAAGATCTTCAAAGAGATCCATCAGAGCTTGTTCCAGAGTCCCTTAAAATCTATAGGGTACCAGAGACTGGTGGCCTTAGCGATGTGTATGCAATTCTCAGGGGAAAGTATGGATACCAGTTGTGAAGGCAGAGATGGCCTACGTGAGTGAGACAGCATTGAAGACAGGATCAGGCCACAAATCAAGAGAGCACTACTCAAATTGAGAGATCTCAACAAGGCAGTTTTACTCCTGCACAGCAGAGTGCTTAGCCGTCCAAAGCAGGACAGCAAGCCCACCCAGCTGAAATGACTTCCGTCTTTTATCCCTAAAGCAGGGGGAACATTGGCCGTTCCTCACTGACTCAGGTACATTCTTACATTTTATACCCAACTGGCTAGTTTTTAAGAGGAAAAGACGGCTTTGAGGAAATGTTTTGGTATCTGGGGAGTGGGGTAATATGGCACATACACAGGGATTCTAGGAAAGGGGAAGGCTGGCAGAGGAGTGCGTAGGAGCATGCGCATGTGCAATACTCATTTGATTAAAAAAAAAAGAGTTTTTCCCACAATGTCCTCTAAAATCTATAGAGCTGATGCACAATGCTATATGGGAAAGCTTAAGGGAAGCTGTGCGTACCAATTCTGAAGATCAGAATCTGGCACTATCCTAAAGAGCTTTCCCTGAGAAAGCCACCTGGAGAGCCACTGGGACCCAGGGAAAGCTTCTTAGGGCAGATCAGACCGTTAGAACCCAGAGGCAACTGCAGAGAAGAAAGTCCCGGGAAAGGAAGGCAGTCTCTGGAGAATGCACAAATGCTCGTCCCTACCCTATAAGGAGCTGGCTTTAAACACCTGCCAGAGTGAATTATAACAGCCACTTTGGAAAAGTGGACCATCTGATCCAGCAATGAACTGCTGGGTATATATTCAAAGGAACTGGGTCTGTATGCTGAAGAGACGTCTGCCCTCCCTCAGGCATCAAAGCATGGTCCACAATACCCAAGACAAAAGCAACCTACGTGTCCCTCAAGAGGCAAATAGTTGACTAGGATGAGACATGCACATATGCTAATGGATGCCCATACGGCCTCTACCTCTTGTACATAGTACAAGAAATTCTGTCACTCTCAACAGCACTGATGGTCCTAGATAACATAACATTAAGCGACATAAGCCAGGCACAGAGAGCCAAACACTGTATTTTCTCGACTACGAAACATCTATCTTACAGGAACACAGAAGAGGAAGGTGGTTAGACTAGAGGAATAACATTTCTGTGGTGATGAGGACCTGAGTGACTAATAATGTATCGTGTGTTTGGAAATTGATCAAAGAATAGAGTTCTAGTGTTCTCATGATAAGAAAGGGGTTGGTGATACGATGGATATTTAATTAAATTGATTGAATCTTTCTGTGATCAAAACATCATGTTATATATCCAAAACATACATAATTACTATTTGTCAATCAAAAAATAAAAAATTTTCTGAAGTATGCCATAGCCAGAAAAGGCTACCCACCCCACCCCACCCCACCCCCCGCGCCAGGAGGCATCAATGCCAATCAACTTCGACTCTCCATGCTGTTCCTGCTCTCCCTCCCCCACCCACCCCCAAACACAGGACAGTCAGCAGGAAGTACAGGTGGCCCTGCCCTCCACTCCCGCTCAGCGCTGCAGGCCACAGGAAGAAAAGAGAAACCATAATTTGAAATCGAATCTGAAGTTTTCATTATTTATCCAGAACTGCATATTTCATATCTATACTCTCAACCCTGACTGCCCATTAGGATCACCCGGGGAGCTTTTAAAATTACTGATGTCTAGGCACTGTCCCCAAAGATTCCTATTTCATTGGTCCAGGGGGCAGCCTGGGCATCAATATTTTTTAAGGCTGCCCAGGAGATTTTGAAGGGCATCCTAGGCTAAGAACCATGGTGGTAATATTGAATTAAGAACATTTTTGCAAACAAAAGATCATGGAGTGACTAGCAATGTGACAGAACTTTCTGTCTCGCCCAGGGAATGAAGAAAGGACAGCAAAGCCTCCT